ACTACTACTATTACTACTTTACTACTACTACTACGACGACGACGACGATGACGACGACTGCTACTGCTACTGCTACTGCTACTGCTACTGCTACGACTGCTACTGCTACTGCTACTGCTACGACTGCTACTGCTACTACTACTACTACTACTACTACTACTACTACCACTACTACTACTACTACTACTACTACTACTACTACCGCCACTACCACTACGACTACGACTACCGGTACTACCACTACTACTACTACGACGACGACTACTACTACTACTACTACTACTACTTCTGCTACTGCTACTGCGACTGCGACTGCGGCAGTGGCAACTACTACTGCCACTACTACGACTACTCTACTATTGCTACTATTGCTGCTGCTGCTGCTACTACTACCACCACCACCACTACTGCTGCTGCTGATGCTGCTGCTGCTACGCTACTGCTGCTACTACGACTACGACTACACGACGAGAACGAGGACGACGACGATGACTGCTGCTGCTGCTGCGACGACAACTGCGACCGCGATACGACACAAGGAGGACGACGACGATCGCTCCTACCACAAGATAGCCATTTCTAAGTAATGACTACGACTTACTGATAATGTTACTGTTGCTGGTACGTAGACGCTACTGCTACTGCTACTGCTACTGCTACTGCTACTACTACTACTACTACTACTACTACTACTACTAATACTACTACCACTACTACTACTGCTGCTACTACTACTACTACTACTACTACTACTACCACTACTACCACTATTATTACTACTACTACTACTACTACTACTGCTGCTACTACTACTACTACTACTACTACTACTGCTACTACGACTACGACGACGACGGCGAGGACCAAAGCAAACAGAAATTAACATACATGACCGAGCAATCCACGAAGCTAGCGGTACCTCTTCAACCGACCTGATCACAACCTGTTCTCGCCCGGGTCATAAGCTTAAAATAAGAAGGACCCAAAGCCCGACAGAATGCTGAAGGTCTGACAGACTTAACAATTCCGTACAATTGAAACTCTTCTTCACCCCAAACACTCCTGAAGACTCCTCGCCTGAACCCGAGACATGGCCGATTGGCGAACTTCTTGCGAGACAGCTGGAAATTCTCGTAGGAGGTCTTGATCTGACCAGATGTCATAATCGTGAAAGGCATTAAATGTTTGAAGGCTTTAAGGCCTATCAGGCTTCAGGTGTAGACGTTAGGGTCGAAGCTCTGGGAACAAGAAGCTTGATCTGAACGGCGGTTTTCGGCAGGTTGTCAGGGTTCATCCGAAAGGCTGGCTTAGGGCTTTGAGACTCTAGTAGGTCTTGCGGTTTGGGCTCCTGCGTCAAAACGTCTGGCATCTTACGCCTTACGCACTCATTCCCACTCTCGAGGGATCAGAACACCTGGCAACAGGTCAAAGACTCGCGATTCGAGGGTACTTAACTTATACTTCTCCAATCTTTCAGCAAGCTGTTCCACTCTGTGCAAGAAGAAACCCAGCCTGCTCTTTTGTGTCGGGGTCGAACATGCCCACGGAAGGCTCCTGTCGTACATTTTTTGGGCTTACAGCTTAGCGCATAGGTGGTTTGTCTCGGGGCGAACGTTTCTTGCAGGTAGGCTTTTGGAGGAAGGGGGCTCGTCGAGCCTTGGTTTACAGCTCAAGGCCTTGATTGGCTTGGGGACAAGTGTGAAAAAAAAGGGCTCCGTCGTTGCAGGGCTCAGGCCTTATGCAAGAAGCTTTCATGGGCCTTGGGTTTAGGGCAAAGGCTAAGGCTTTAGGGTATCGTTCTCAACAGAAACGACTTCCTGCAAAGTTGTCAGCATTTTTACGACCTAGTCGAAAATCCAAAACCCCAAGCCCAAGCTACATGGAAATCTGCTGCCCCAGACACAGCGTGTCCCTTCCATCGCAGCTGCGGTGGATGGATCCCCAACCATGTTCTGGATCCTGATAGAAAGTTTTGGGGTGAAGCTCGGAGCTCAAAGACCAGGTTTACGACAAAGGTAAGGTTTGAGGGTTTGGTGGTTGAAGGTTTAGGGTTTAGGGCTTCAGAGACAGACTGAATTGGGCCTCAGGCTGTCAAGGCTTGGGATTTGTTGGTGTTAGGGCCGTTAGGGTTGACGCTTGCATCCGTTCTTTGGGAGGGTGGCACAAGGGGCGTTTGGGAACGTCTCCGTTGCCCGGCCTCGGTACCGGGCACGACTTTGGTATACACCATGGCGGCGGTAAGGCAGTGCACGAAGATTCTAAATGTAAAGGTAGGGCGCTCACCCTAAGCCAGCCTCGACACTTGGAAGGAACCATGCTTCAGTCCCACACAGAGTCGGCTGCTGATCCATCAAAACTCCACAGCTCTTCAAAATGGCTACAAGGATCGAATATCAGCATCATGCGCGGATCGCAGACACCGGAATGCCAATGCAAACCTGAAGCCCGACACCGTTGCACTCATCGGGCTTGCTGGCATTTCGGGGGGGAAAGGATTCGCGACTTGCATCTGTAACAGCCGGGAAGCCACTCCCCTTCAGGCTATGGCCTCGGGCTAAGCGGGTGTTCAGGGTTGAGGCTTGAGAATTGGGTCTGTCAACAGAAGTATGTGAAGATGAATTCTTCAACCGCACAAGTGCTCGAAACGTGACAGGTGCTGCAGGTTTGACTGTTGAGACTTCCTTTTGACGGCGTAGTAAAATTCTGGACCTGTTGGAACAACTGGTGGTTCTATTGGCCAGCTACAATACGCCTGTCGTGCATTAGACGGGCTTGGGGTGGGATAGTATACGAAGTGAGCTAAGCGTAAATCAAAGCTGCATGTATTGTCAGGGGCAAACATGGCAGGGCCTGCAAACCAGGGCCAAAAGAGAGCACCAGTTGGAAAATGGTCGGTTAAATCAATGGGAGTCCTGCGGAAATTGTGCTCAAAGCTCGACCGTCTCGTCTTGGTATACCTTTGCAGGCACGATCTTCTTCTCGTCGCTGGAATTTTTGATGGTAACCTTGCCCTTGACCACAACACCAGTGGCGAACTCCACCTTTCCCTCAACCTTCAGAGAAACGCATTCTTTCAGGGAGGGGACTCCGTTGGGAATAAGAGTGTCGAGAGCATCCACAAACTTGTAAGCATCATCCAGCTTGATCAGTGGTGGAACTCCGCTTCGCTCTGGAACTAGCTCAATGCGAAAGTCCTCGGTAAGAGTGTACGCATCTGACCGAAGGGCAAGAAGGTCCTCACACTTCTTCACGGGGGCAAATCGTGTCCTTGGGATCTTGATGGCTTGTGCTCCATCGAAGCAGGAAATAGCAGCACCCATGGCCGTTTCCAGTTGCACTACCTTTGTTGACTTCTTGTCTCGGGGGTCAACGGTCTTGTCATTCTTCATGACGGGAAGAGGCAGTGCCCCACCACTCTTGTCAAAGAGCTCTTTCAGCTTTCCCAGATGAACCCAAAGATTGTTCGTGTTGAAATAGGTGTACTTGGTGACATCCTGGAATGCTGCCTCGTCCTCTTTCGGGCACTGTGCCGACTCGCGAAGCGTGAGGCCACCCTTGTCCTTCATCAAAATTTTTTGCGGATGCCCAAACCCTGAGGCCCTAAGACTTCTCTGAGTCTTCAGCGCTTTGGGGGGCTTCTGGGGGGCTCATGACAGCCCCACCTGAATACTTGAATCTTAAACTCTACTAGATGCTCGACCATGGGCTTGAATTGTACATCCTAGATCCCAAGCCTGTCCTTCATGACGGCTAGGTGACCCCCCTTCTTGTCAGCATCCGTGCGCGCCGCCACCTCCATGAGGAAAGGCGCACCGGAATCTGCGAAGTACGTCAGGAGCCTGTTTAGGGCTTTGTCTGTGCTAATCTATCAATCTACCTACCTATCATTCCATCTATTTGTCACAATATGTGTGTGTGTATGCATATGTACACCGAAAACGTGGAGAGCTTTGGTGCTCGGGGCAATGTGTATGTATGTATGTATGTATGTATGTATGTATGTATGTATGTATGTGTATGTATATGTATATGTATATGTAGATGTAGATGTATATGTATATGTATATGTATGTGTATATATGTATATATATAAATATGTATATATATATATATATACATATATACATTTTCCATTTCCATGCTTTCAGAGGTGTACGCAGCTTAATTAGGGCATGCATGGGTTTTTGGCAGTGTGCACTCGAGTTGGACTCAGCCCACCCGGCGCAGAAATCTGCCCAGCCACACGATGACAGGCCACGAACTATAGGGCCCAAAAGTCCAAGTGGGGCTCGCAAAACGAAATCTTTACTGCATGATCAATGACGGCTCTCATATCTGCTCCGTGAACTACCACGAAAGCAGAAGAGGACGAAAAGAACGGAACCGAAGCACCCTCTTGCCCTTGTCAATGACAAAAGAGTCGGCAAGCGTTTCTGGGAGATGTTTCAATGCTCTTTGACGGTTGCCTTTCTCCTCCAACACCAAGCCCAATTCCATCAAATTGGCAGTTAAAACCTCAATGGCAGCCGGCTGGATGCTGTAATCCGACGAGACGTTGCAAACCTCAGGGCGCTTCCCCCTAAAGATCACGCGCTGCTGATCAAGGCAGTAGCCCGCACCTTCATGAACCTTGCAAGGGACGTCGCTGGTACATTTGACGTCCAGTGCCATGTCCCAGTTATGAACACCCATGCAGCAAACCTGCTGTCTTCTCAGGCTTGTCTCAAACACAGGCGACTTCACCAGATCTGCGAAACACCGCTTCTCCAGGCACGCTGACCTCCCACTAAGAGGCTCCCATTGTCCATGCCAGCGCTTCACGATGCAGACCTCATCATGCCACTCCCTGAACAGCTGCCTGCCACGCCTATTGTTCCGGTGCGCATCACAGGCTACTGTGTGGACGGTGGCTGCAGTCTCAACTCTCCCACTGCATGGTGTACTTCCTGCAAAGCTATCGCCATGCACTTCATTGGCGGCTGTAGAACGAGCCTCTCCAGCAGCAATTTCCGTAACAATCATCTCCGCATATTGCCGTATCTCACGTTTGCGATCCGACAAGCTGATGCCCAAACGGCGCTCTAGCATCTCCCGCAGCGCTTTCAAAGAAGTGAGGCGTAAGTCCTCAAGGCCTCGAATCACCTCCGAAACGAGCGCATGCAGATCCAGCTGGCTCATGGCGACCCTAACGGTCTGGGGTTCTTGGCTATGTGCCTTCCTCTTTCGCCTACGGGGCACTCGATCCAAAACCCTACATATATACATACATACATATATATATATATATACACATACATACATACATATATATATATATATCGGCGTGAGGGCTCGCTGTCTTGGAGTAAACAGGCCTTTTTAATGCGTTTTTGGGTTACCGGGTTGTTTTTTACAAACATTCGTGTCGATGCGAAATAACTACATGTGGCACGCCATGTGCAAATTAGCCAGTTATGCTTCATATCATGGCGTATAACAGCACTCTTTAGTATACGGCCGCAGAGCTAGGATGATTATGCAAGCTACCCTACTGTGTTGTAAATGATATACAAGCGGCCCACTCATTTCACGCATTGGGTGTACCATCCATGTTCTCGTATCATGATGGCCCATCACCTCCTCTTGAAGCTTCAGGGCGCAGCTTTTTCCAATAGCATGTGTGGCTTATGAGATCGTGTCGCATGTATAAGATATCAACGTTTACCTCCATCATATCCTTTCGGTTTTGGGTGTGTGTCGTATCTGAGTCAGTACTGTCAGACTCTGGGGCCTCCGGGACCTTTTTGGGGGGTTGTACATGGGCCGCCTCTCATCCTCTAATATGAATTGTTGGGTGTTCGAGGAACAGACGACGAAGCCACCATCTTTTCTTGTTGTGAGTTTGGGGGCCCAACATTTGTCATTAGGGTTGTTGTTGTTGTTGGACTCTTTTTGTTGAAGGGCAGGTGCCTTGGAATAGGGATTTGCTATTTTCGAGAGCACTGAGATTATCTCCCATCATCCCCTGTGCCGGCAGCACCGTCTACGGACTTGGGTTTTCCAACCATTACATCTCCAACTGCTTTTCGGTTGTAGGATATAGCCCCCATCATATCCTTGTGAAGTCTTGTGGCCTTTGTCATCCAATACGCCCGGCGGGTGTGCTGAGTTCTCGTGCAACCAGCACGTTTTTGCGTCTTGGCTGCAGGTTTCTTGGCTTTGCTATCCATCATCTCTCCCAATTGGGGTCACACGTCGCTCTTGGATGTGCCATCCATCATCTCTCCCACTTTGGGTTACCCCGCAAAGGTTTGGGAGGTTTGGCACCCATCGGGATGTTCGGGAACCGGTCGACCCACTTCAGGTTTAGAGGTTGGAACCGATCCTTTTCTTGGAGTTTCGGATTTGCTGCCCAACCTACCCAATTTGTCATGCTCGGAACCCAGTCGGCTTTTCCGTGGATGATGCTTGTTCAGAGGTGTTGGGGTCAAGATCCAAGATATGTCCAAATAGATTTGTGCTCTTTGCCAAACAATAACTACTTGCCACTTCCATAACCCCAAAACATAATATGTTTTCTGAGTCACTTCCTTGTATTGGGGTTTTTTGGTTCTTTGGAATCCGCTTTCCGAATCACTTACGTCCTTCATGGTCTCGTTTTGCCGAGGTTTTTATAAACGGACCATCCCCAGCCTTGGGGATGAAAGAACTCTTCTGGCGGTGCCATGTTAGAGCTCTTATTCTGGGGGCAGAGTCATCCCTCAGAGTTTGGCACATCCATCATCTCCGCTTTAAGGATTGGATTATAGTCTATTTGAGCGAAAGGGCAGGTCACACATTGGGTTTTTCCATTTTGGGGTGCAACCTTCGCAAACTTTTCAACCCCATGAACCTGTATGTTGCAGTACGTTTCTGCATGTCTCAAGTTGGTGGCTTACATGTCAAAATATCGGTCCACGAATATGATCAAAATTTATGCTTTCATTCCATTTTATGAGTTCGAAACGTGACGAATATGCAGGTGCCATGCTGGAGTCGTGTTTTCTGAAGTGGCAGAATCATCCATCATTTTCTTTTCAAGATATGGCAAGATTCTATCTAAGTGAAGGGGTCCGTCACCCACCTCGTAGTATTAGGGTTGGTGCATGCCTGTCATTCACTCTGGAAATTATACATTCTGATCATCCCTCTTGAACATACATTAAGAAACAAATGCTTCGATCGCCCTAGAAGCGGCGAAACGGTCGGTTCCCAAGCCTCTCACTGAACCCCATGGCCCCACCACGTTTCTGTGTGACTCGAGCTGGTGGCTTACCTATCAGTCTATCTGGGCGCGGATGTCATTGCAATCTATATTTCTTTCAGCGAGTTTTGATGAGTAGTATGTATGTATGCATGTATGCATGTATGCATGTATGCATGTATGCATGTATGCATGTATGCATGCATGCATGCATGCATGCATGCATGTATGTATGTATGTATGTATGTATGTATGTATATGCACCTGTGGAGTGCGTTTCCGGCTGAGTTCATTTATCATGCATCGTGGGGCGACCCCACATTCGGGCCATAATTTGGCTATGCTCCTCAAACATGAACAGTTCTATGTGGCCGATGATAATTGTTCGGCTAGATTCTGCACTGATGAAGAACTTCATGAAGCCTGTGCGGACTCGTATTTGCTCTTCTACTGCAGGATTCGTGATTGATGAAAGGGAGCTTTGCTTTGGGTGCTAGCACCCTTTCTCCAGCCTGGGGATGCGGAAATCGCAGCTTCTAAGCCGAGGCAGTAGGTGCCTTGTCCCTCAAAGACGCTCGCAGAGATCTTTGCAGTGGGGAAGTGAAGTGAAGTATGTATATACGTAAGTATGTATGTGTGCATGTATATATGTATATGTATATGTATATGTATGTATGCATGGATGCATGGATGTATGCATGTGTGTGTGTGTGCGTATGTATGTATGTATGTACGTATGTATGTATGTATGTATGTTTGTAGGAATGTATGTATGCATATGCAGGTGCATGTGTATATATGTGTTTGTACGTGTACCTATATATAGACACCCGCATATATATATATACACACATACACACGCAACGTTCTGCCCCTTGATATCATAGATGCATATGCACACGCAGAGACATAATAACTGAGATGTGACATACATACATACATACATACATACATACATACATACATACTGCGGCTTTGATGCATACACATACACGACATATATATATATATAATATGTAAAACGGATAAGTACACAAGTACCCATGTGGGTATGTAGAATATAATGAGGACTTGTGTGCAGCCCGTTTTAGTCTTGAGTTGGGTTTGAATGTGTGCTTCATCCCGAAGCCTCATTCACGCACTTTAAATTTTCAGTGACGCACAAGCCGGTCCACAGCTGGGTCCAAGCTTAAAGGAGTCTGGCTCACTGTCCTGGAGGGGGGGCGGCTAGGTCAAAGACCCCCTTTTCCTCCCCCCTTCCAAACAAATATGTATATACTTTTTGTGCCAAATTCAATCTGTGAAAAATTACAGATACATATTTCTATTTATACTAATTTGTTTCTTTTGCTTTTGGCCTCGCTGCCCTCGCCTTCCCGAGGCCGGGGGTCAACCACTTTGCGCGCAGTCCCTCTTCCTGCCGTCTACTCTGCGATATCCGCTTTTTTTTGTTTCACTCTACGCCAACCGAGGCACAGTTCACCCAACTTGTGACATTTTCCAAGAGAACACCTGGAAGTCAATGCTTTAGAAATACGACAAAATGTGGCCCCCAAGGCGACGCTTTCTGTATATATATATATATATTTATATATATATATATATGTACAGAAATAATATACATACATACATGCATACTTACATACATGCATGCTTTTTATTTGGTATATAGAATGTAGATGTTGGCTGTAAGGGATTTGGATGTCGACTTTCCAGCTCGTAGGCCCAAAAGCTCGGAGATCCATCAAATATCTAAGTTCTAGAAAAAAAGAAACCGGCCAAGCAGTAGCAACTTCATCCACACGCTAAAGCCCGAAAGTTGCAAGCTCATCCAAGCAGCTTCAGGTCCAAGGTCGCACCAAGGTTGTCGGAGTTGGACACGAACATGTACTTGATCCTTGGACTTTACACAACGAGGGTTTTAGGGTTTGGCTCAATTTGAGGAACTGAGGTCCTCCACACCCCGAAGACGTTGAAGACCTTACCAACCCCATTGCGAACAGCAAACTCCAAGCTCCCTGCAATGGGTTCTGGGCTTCTGGCCCCAATTCTCAATCCCTACCCGCGGATGCTCAGACCTGACAGTGCTTGTTGCATTACCATACTCTGTGAAGACTGACAACTCCACAGCGTAGGGCTTTAAGGTCAGGGGGACTTTGTAAGTTGAACCGAAGCTCCGAATCCTCAAAACAGTTAAATCTATACATAGTAGAACGCCCATCGGCATTTTGAGAATTACTGCAAGCTTTAGTCGGATCCTAACCCTAAGCTCTACAGCCTGGAGCTCTAACGACCATGACCCTTCACAGCCTGTCCCCAGACTCGTAACGAAAATCTTTTGACGAAGCACCCCTTGGCCAACAGGCGATCCAAAGTGCCGGACCTAGGACCGGAGGCTGGCGGCTGGGGAGTTTGGTGTCAGCCATGGGTTTGGGTGCTTCTGGGTCTTTAACATGTCTGACAAGCCCTAAGCACTCCACTTCCGGGCGTGTCCATTCCTCTGGCAGCAAGCCCTGAACCCTGCATTCCTGAAACCTAGCATGAGAATAGTTAGAAGCTTCCACCTCAAACCATAAGCAAATACTTTCTGAAACCCAAACAGTATTCCTGAGGTCTCCGGCCCCAGCATGGCCGGATAAAGGTCTCCATGGCCGGGTGGGCCTAGGATGATTCGGACCAGCTGCGATTCGGCTGACGAAACGCCAACATATTACATGCTATGATTTTCCCTGATTCTACGAATCTGTAGCTAAAACCCTTCAAAGTTCTTTAAGGATTCTTGCTGCGAGCCCGTCGAATATTGGAAATGCCGCCCACAAAACACGAACATCCAGGGCTTCCTTGGGCTTGGCTTCAGGGCCTACTTAAACACACTTCGAAGAGTGACTGGGTGTACACGGAACTGCATCTGTACAGGAATTGTAACGAAAAGGCAACGATAGACAATATACAAAAGGCGCAATGCTGAAAACTCCGAAAATCAAGCGGCAAAACTCCTAAATCTGGTTGCTAAGTGCCCTTCAACTCCGAAAATCACTTCACTCCGATGAGGGTGTTGAGCTGAACACGGGAGCCTGACACAAACACTCAACAGTAGGATCCTCATCGGTACAAGACCAATACAGACTAAGAGCCCTATAAGGAGGGTGCCGCAGTAAGAAGCCCGAAGCCCGCCCTGCACCAAGGGGCACCACTCGTGACTCGGCTCAGAGGGCCATTCGGCCGGTGCGTAGCCATCTGCTGTGACCTTCGGCGCCTTGTTCTGCACGAACTGCAGATCATCTCCAGTTCCCAGATCCTGCGCACTGGGCACTAAGCCGGAAAGGTCTCACAGCGACTGAACACGCCACTTCCCTAGATTTATACCCTTTCATAAAGCATAAAAATGAATCCGGGAAGACCGCAAACAAAGCATGAACCCTGAACCCAGGATCCGGGTACTTGGACAGCGCTTCCAAAGTGTCCGCGGAAGTCGAGAAGGAGTTCATGAGCATGAACTTGAGGTCCGGCATACTGTAGGTTCCCTTCATCCAAGCCACCTTCGGGTCTAGGCTTGGAAGGGCTCAGGCATCTGGGGGAGAGATCCTTCGGGTCTACGCCATAGGCGCTAAGGCGACGATCTGAACTTAGCAAAATACCAACTTTGACCAACCTGCTTGATCAAGCCATTGTGGCGACGGGGGAAAGACAAAAACTCCCGACCTGCTTGGCAATGAGGTCCAGGAATGTGTTACCGCTCGTGACCTCCAGAAGCGACTTGGCCTTGTCAAGGCCCATGCCCGTTCCTCGGATAGGACCCTGGGAGCCATGCAACTAGACTTGGGCGCAAGCACTTGAAAGGGCGGACGAAAGCTCGTCGGCAAGGATTGGTGGGGGCATTGCAGGGGCGGACAAGGAGGTCTCTTCGAGGCGGGGGGAGCGATAGTAATAAGGCTATCAAGGTATTGGAGGTCTCAAGCCGGGGGGAGAGGGGGGGGGGAGATCTGCCCTATTTTACTTCTTCATCGAGGATTGGGTTCCATGCCTTCGAAGCTGCTGATAATTCTCAGTAAACCAGGACTTCAGCCGAGTCCTTACAGGATCCGCTTTTGTGATAAGCGCAACCCAGGCTCCTAAACCGCCGTTCAATTTCAAGACGACGGTCTCCTTCAGCAGCTCGGGCTTCGGCGTGATCTCAAGGCTCTCCAAGTCGGGCAAAGTCGGCACCGGATCCAAAGCGGCCTGCAAGCGAGCGGCGAGCGAGCGAGGCCCCAAGCAGTTGCTTTCCCTGAACGTAAAGGAAATGAAAGCACCTAAGCCGCGACCAGGCCGTTGCTCCGCATTCGCGTCCACTGCCTCCCCTCGCTGCGACGTTCGGTTTAATTACCGCGTACTATTGATCCCAACTTTTTGAAACCTCGAAAGCCTCTGTGTTCAAGCCTCCTGCCGAGTTGGCTGCCTCTTCAACTTAGGCGTCCTTTTCTGAACGTCTGCCTTATGCGCCTCTTCACACCTGGTTGGTCCTTCCGCAGCTACAATGCTATTGCACTCAACTTTATTCGAGTTGTACAGCGCCTCTGGGATCATGGTATCAGCACCAGACGTCAAGACTTGGAAGTTGTACTTGAAGGCATTGACCGCAGCATCGGTCTCGCTCTCCTTGCCTCCAGCCCGCATCTTAGTCTCGTACAGCGGCCAAAGCCCGTCGAAACTCATGGCGAATGGGATACAAAATCAGAGACAGAGACAGCTTAGCAGAGCGATCTATTTACCACGCGACTTGGGCCAAATCAACGGAGCAAAAGGAAATAGAGGCCTGCATAGACAGGCCTGGGGCGTTTCCATACAACATTACATTCAGGAGCCCTAGGTCGTACGGAATGGCATTGATTTTCTAGCTGTTCAGGCTTCTAGATTTCGCGGCTGCACCTGCCGATTGCTTGTTATTGTTGCGACAGTGGAACATCCAATACGGATTGTCCAGCTTCGGGCAGCAGCAGGCTCCCTCCTTTCTCAAAGCTCCGTGCGAACGCATCTCGCAACTCAAGTCGTGTCCAGAGTCAGCGAAAGTTATGCAGGAGCTCCGCTTCCTTGCCTCGGCTTGTTCAACTTCGGCTGGAGTGAAAACGGTTTTTAACAAGGATTTCACAGTATCACATCTGAGACATACCGTTTCCGGCGAATTTACGTGCATCCTTCTCGTTGGGGTGAGTGTTTCTCCGAGTTGTGTGAGGATATTTGGCATCGGGTGGACCAAACAGGATGCGAAGACACTCCACAAATTTGCAGAGATAGTTGGATCATGGCCGGCCTTCACCGTTTGGGAGATCACCACAAACCTCATCGGGGTTCAGGGTTTTCGAGTCCCGAGACTTGGAGTTAAGCGACAGGGTGGGCAGAGAATCTGAACTTCAGCTGTCCGTGCTTTGATTGAAAGGTGAAAAGCTGAGACAAATGCTAATCCAACGACGACTGTGGTGTCATCGAGTTTGCCACCTGCAGTAGAAAACTCTCAGTAGCCTCGTGCCACAGCATGGCAACCAGCATGCACAGTGATTGCCCACCTCGAAAAGATAGGCCTTCTGAATGAGCGGCCAATGCAAACGGTGTGATAATGTCCTTCAGAATCAATGCAGCTTCAGACACAGAATGATTGCAGGTGCAATCCTCAACTACATCAAAAGCTAGACCGGAGGCCATTCATGAAGAGATGTAAGCGGAATTCCGTAAGCCCCACAGCCTCAGCAAAGAAAGCATCTCACCCTCAGCGGCCCCAAACCGAGACCTTGTTGTCCTCCTGCTGCCCGATGCGCTGCGCCTGATTGCTAGAGATTTGTTATTGTGGGATACCGGGCAAGCAGGTACAAAAGGAGCATTCGGTTCTGCAGAGATGCTTCGCCGTCAGGGCACATCAAAGCGGCATTGACGGCGACAAAGCGGACACGAGCGAAGGAAAGCAAAGGCCTGCTTGGCGATACTGGTGGCGAGACCGCTTAGATGAGGGGTGACCTTAGGCCCAGCCACTCGCTACCGGACAGCCTAGTCGCCTTGAGCAACCGGCGCCTTTGACCTCCAAGGTCCAACGCGCCTCAAATCCTCAGACTCGTGCCGGCGCCCCGACGCTCCAAGCTTTTGCGAGTTGCTGCGCCACAATGGCTTGGACCTCGTGAAAACAGGTCGTAGGCTTCCGGGCTGCGTGCAAGAAATACAATATTTAGTGGACGTGGTGGTGGTGGTGGTGGTGACGGTGGTGGTGGTGGTGGTGGTGGTGGTAGTAGCAGTCCTAGTTGTCGTAGTAGTCGTAGCAGTCGTAGAAGTCGGCGTAGTAGCAGTCGTCGTAGTAGCAGTCGTAGTAGTAGCAGTCGTAGTAGTA